TCTCAAATTTACATCTTTCAAACAGCTACTATTTAGCATTTCCATCTGTTTCATCAACTGTTTAGTTTTTTTGTCAGTCAATTGTTTTCCAATCTCTAGAAAAAAAAAAAAAAAGGTTGCCTAAAAAAATTCATTTCCACGGGGCATGAAAAAGCTTGGTGGAACAGCTTTGTTCATCACACGCTCATTCACAGGTGCTTTTTAAACATTGTTGTGCCATTTTGTGCTTGACATCTTTAGTAGCTATGAGTAACCGTTAATTATGCAAAAAAGTAAAAATTTTTAAAAACAAATTGGCTGCAAAACGATGGGAAGAAAAACACAAAACTCTTAACATGATACATTCAATGAAAAAAAAAAAATCTTTTTTTTTTGGGGGGGGTTTTGATCATTGTCAATAAAATGTCCACTGAACGTAACAACAAAAATGCAGATTAAAGTCATGATACTTTTTTTATATGCAATAGTATCTTCAACAAAACATCTCTTCTTTACAGCTTTTTTTTTTTTTTCATTTTTTTTCCCTCTCCTAACACATTTATTGTCCACTTTTTCCTAAAGTTCTTTTTTTAAACGTTATTTCATTAGAAAAAAGCGAATGCAGAAAATAAATAAAATTAACAGCACATCTGTTGATTTTCAAGATCAATTCTGAAAATCCTGGAAAACTGACGCAGTATTCTGCCAATCTGTTAAGACTGCAAAATGTACAGTTATCACTCAATCTACTAAACTCTTGAAATTTGAGAAAGAAAAAACAAGGAAAATTTGCTTTACAGTTCTAAATCAATTTAAGCATTACAATTCCTCTTTTTTTTTTTGTTAATTTTAACAACGTCTATGTCTTTTTTGCCACATTTATTTTTCCGTTTTCCGGCTTTAAAGTTTTGTCGACAAGATGATAATAAAAGAAACTTCCTTCCTCCATCGTTTCCCCGTACGGTTAATTTAACGACAAAATATCAATCACGGTTCTGTGTTATCCAAATAAGCAATTTTTTACTGTTTGAGCAAAATTTTTTTGCGTGCAGAAGATTTCATTGACCATAACAAACGATTAGATTTGAACGGTAATTTCATAAAAGTTTCATATTTTTCAAAGTACGAGAACACAGGATCAAACAGATTCATATTAAGAAAAAGAAAAACAACTGGTTAGTGGTGACTCACTGAGCAACATTTCTTGCTTATTGTCCCTGTTTTAAAATTTTTCTGCACTTATACATTTGAAAAGATCTTACAACTTCAAAGAAATATAGTAGCCGATTTACCAGCGCTCCTTTTAAAATTCAAAAAGTGGAAGACTTAAAAAAATAGCTTTTTTGGTCTCAGTATGCTACAGTAAAACAAATTTCAGCGGTTCTTTCAAATCTTACTCCAAGACTTTGTTTAGCTGTTGCTTCTAAGTTAGGCCCCAAGTTCAAATGCTAAAAAAGCGATCATCAGTAATGAAAGCTCAGGCTAACGACGAGTAAACAGCAATGTTACTTAACGGTTTCGAAAATGTTTTAAAAAATTTAAACGGTCATATACTGTAAATTTTCTCGTTCACGATACCCAACTCAGCAACGTAGAATTCTCTATAATTCTTTGATCGCATTTGCTGCGACTAATTTGTGTATCGTCATATCAGTTGTCAACCAACCTAACTTCCTTCGATCAATGGGATGGACGATTTTTCGGAAATCTGTCAGCATCTAGAAACTATGATTTACTTTAGCGTTTTTTTACAGACGCCAGCCCTAATCAACACTTTCAAGACAATTTAAAAAATGTTCTTTCATTTGTTCCAAAAACCAAAGATTGCTGATCTAGAACTACCATGGCCACTGAGCACCATTCAACTCATTATCTCATACAATTTTTCACCTCCTTCAACAAATCAAAGTGAAATTTTCTGGATTGTTGTGTAATCCACTCCTGACAGAATTTCATGAATGCAACTTCTTTTATGCGGCAGTCTCAGGACTAAAAGCTTATCTATAACGCAAAATCCTTTAAACTGATCCCTGGTGGTTAATTGATTCTAACCTTAGACTTCAAAAGACGATTGAATTCTTGGTTGGTTTTATCGCAACCATCCATAGCAGTAACCGTTGAGCAAGACTGTGCAGAACCTATCCCTCCTATCCTGCAGAATCACTATGAACCATATTCTGTAAACTCCATGTAAGGATCAATTTTGGAATCGTTTTCTTCATCAGTATCCCGTCAAAACCATTTAGCAGAACAAGCTTGATTCTAAACTCCGTTCCAATTTTGTTTATTTAAGAATCAAAAACTGCATAAATGGCAATTGTTCAAAAATTTGCATTTTAAACATTAATTTTAATCTGCGGAGACACAAGCACAGCGAGTACTATTAAATTCATTATACTGGCCTGACAAGCAAACTGAGTTGCACTACCACTGTTGCAGGTCCCCACTGATAAATTTCAAACGGAAATCAAAACGACCCAAAATAATTACCCGGATTTTTAAACCAACATCTTCCCACAATCGACAGATCGGCCATCATTGACTGTGCAGAAAAATGGACATATAGGAAAATCCCTCCCAGTAAACTAGTCCACAAAAGTTAGTAAAGGAGAAACAAGATGCTTATGAAAATAACATTTTTTTAAAACATTTGCTTCCCTCAACCCTCACGATGATGCAAGAAGCCACAAAGTAACATGTTTTTCAGCTACAAAACTGATAAAACCACCTTCTTTGAAACGACAGTACACCTCTTACCACCTCCAGCCGGCGGTGTTGCAGGTCCAACCCAATCCCAACTACCACTTTACGTAGCCGAAAAATACTTTCTGCAGTAGGGAAAATTCCCAATTTTTCTACAACATAACCTTTCAACTGTTTCTCTCCTCTTTTCAACAATGACGTTTCGTAACCACTTTCCACTAACAAAACAATCACATCCACCCCCGTACTGTACCGGATAACCGTTCAACCAACTGCAAACGTCATCATAGGACGATAACGCAGAAGAATAGCACTAATCGCTAAAGCAATACTAGGTTTGCACAAAACACGATGAAAACAGTACTTTTTACCTCATCACTTTTAAGCATAACAACTTCAAATGAAGTCCAACCATGAATTTTTACACCACCATTACCCAGCTCTCCTCTAAATTTCAGATCAACAAACTCCAACTATCTGCTGAAAAGTAAAATTGCTAAAGCGTTGAACCCATAAAATTCAATTCCCCACTCTGATCCAGTCAACAGAAAAAAGACGTTTCCAAAGCAAAAATAGTCCTCTTCAATCACCCAATTATGACAATGTTTCACAAATGTCAAAAAAAAAAAAATTGAACAGAGGACAACATAATCTGC